ATTCTTTAAAAATTTAAAAAATACAAATTAATATACAATATCCATTGTTAAATACAGATTGTCATTAAATTATTTTTTTAAATCTTTCTTTAAATGCCTTCAATTTGATTTTTGTTCTATATATACTTTGTATAGTGCATATATATATATATTGGTTTTTAATCTATTGTTATTATTCTTATTATTCTTATTATTTTTGCTTGCATTTCTAAATCTAATGAAACATCGCATTTTTTTTAAAGTCGGTTATAAATAACATTTTTATTATATGATAAAATATTTCGCCAGCATGCAAATTAGAGCATACGTCAAGGTGAGGTTAAAAGCGACAAGTAGAAATGGATACTATTCGATGTATTGGCCAGCATGGGAATGCGAAGCGCTTATCTTCGTAAATGCTCATTAGGAGCAATTCCTACCAAGTACAGCTACCGCGATTGCACGGAATTGCCACGATTCGATCTGTCAATCGCGATACGCGCAACGCGACAGATACACAATTGTTCCGGAATCACATTATTAACATTCGCTGGGCCATGTGTCTTTTGGACACAAGGCCGTGTCGTAAATACAAGACAATATATAATAATAGAAATATCAAGTGTGATAAATCAGTAACATCTAATACCTAGTTTAACACAACGCGAAAATACAACAGCGTCGAATCTGATAATTTATTTTCTCTAAATTACAGAAAATTGCATCGGAACCTACCTCCGATCACGCTGTAAGAATACGAAAAGGAAGAGCGAGCGAGCCCATGAAAAAGACAAGTCGGACGTTGACACGCATTTGCGATGCCGGAAATGGCGATCACAACGCCATCCAGAGACCGTTAATAGAAATATAGTTTTCTATATACGAAATAGAACTTGACTGGCCATTGCATGAATCGCGCATCATTTTCTATTTGTTCTAGCATTTAGCATATAGGTAGCATATCGGTTTATTTAATTTTTAGTTTTTCTATAAAATATTTTTATATATACTTTACGATTATATTACTTTTTTAATTTTTATCAGTAGTTGAAAGTTGTAAAATATAAATTTAAACGAAAAAGAACAACCAATCAAAAACTAATATTTTATTCGTAGTGCAAATTTTTTGAAATGTGTTAATTATTGTGTATGTGTATATGTGTTAATTAATAATCTAAAATAAATAAATTAATAATCTAAAATAGAAAATTTATAAAAACTTGAAAACTTTATTATTTTATTATATCCAATTAACACGTTCAAAAAATTTATTGTATGAAAATTAAAATATTGGTAAAAATCCCTGATAAAGAATTTTGTAGAACTAACTCATTCTACTAACTCATAGCTAATCAGTATTCCATTTTATACAAATACTTATTAATTCCATTTTATACAAATATTTATTATATAAATACTTAATAAAAGTTGATTGGCTATCTTGGCTACTATATTTCGAATGCAATAGCTATTACACGTGTAATTGATGATAATATAATTATCTTTTTATGCAAAAGCTAATAATAAAAGTTTTATAAAAAGTTTTACAATTATTCATTCGCAAATAAATTTACCTAATGTATAAATATTTCTAAGAATTTCATATCTGTGGTGAATATTTAGAAATTTCATATTTTTTATATTATATGAAAGAAGAATTATCTTACCACTTATCTTTGCTTATCATAAGATAATATTTAATAATTAAATGTTATTAAATTGTATATATAGTTTCAAACAGATATATTATTGATACTCAATAACATAAGATGTACAGTTACTTATCATCAGTTTATGAGTAATGAAAGAATTGTGAAATATTGTTTAATAAAGTCTAAATATCTTCATTTCTTTTATTAATAGTGTCAATTTGTATAAAAATATTTATTTGCTCTTCTTTGCAAGAAAAATTTAATATAAAAAGTTTAATATAACTATTGTTTTTAATGCACAATAAATTGGAGTGATTCTACACACAAATAGGTAACTATAAAAAAAAATAATATATCTATATATTAAGATATTGTTTCCTTTTATAATAAAATTTTTATAAATATCTAAAATATTTTCTCTAGGCAAATGGAAGACTGCAAATAATAAACAAATAGAATGATTTAATGAAAACATATCTACAATGGCAGATATAACATTACCACCTAAGTTTATTACGAAAGATGATTTTATAGCAAACTGGTTCTCATGGAAGAATAATTTCTTTATTTGTATGAAGCATATAGATAAAACTGAAACCAATAAACATCTATGGGGTATTATGCTTCTAAATCGTATGGGTCCTGTTGGCCAAGAGATCCATAGAACATTTCCTTTTTATAATAGAAATGATACAGATATAAATATCTTAATAAAAAAATTTGATATCTATTGCATATATGGAGATAGAAGAAGAAATGGCAAAAGTATCGATGAATATATAATTAATTTAAAAGTATGTTAATCGAAGTACTTATGTTGATAATATACATATTCTTAAATACAATTTTTATAATTATTTGTACATTTATTTCTTATAGCTTATCGCCATTAAACACAATTATCTTGATCCTACAAGTATCGTAAAAGAAAAAATTATACAAGAGATAACTACTCGGCGTTTCAGAGGACAGGCTGCGCATGTTATAAGATCTAAAGGAAAAAATCTGATACCATATCTACAATCATTAGATCTCAACAATATTATTCGGTTTTGGAAATATTGTGAAGATTTAATGCCACCAAAGAAAGGAAAAAGAAAAACAAAATAAAACCAAAACAAGAAGAGAAAGAAAATGAAGAATCTGTAAAACCAAATATCAAAAAAGAACTTATAAAACTAAATATCGAAAAAGAATTTTTAAAACCAAATATCAAAAAAGAACCTATAAAACCAAATATCGAAGAAAAACCTAAAAAACCAAATATCGAAAAAGAATTTGTAAAATCAAATATCGAAAAAGAACCTGAAAAGCCAAATATCGAAAAAGAACTTGTAAAACCAAATATCAAAAAAGAACCTATAAAACCAAATATCGAAAAAGAACCTAAAAAACCAAATATCGAAAAAGAACTTGAAAAATCAAATATCGAAAAAGAACCTGAAAAACCAAATATTGAAAAAGAAAGAAAAATACCTAAACAATATTATTTTCTTGATATACCTGTTATAATAGAACGTTTGATATAAAACAGAACACAATTGAAGTCAATGTCCAGCTTGGAGCGCACAATAAAGGAGATGTAAGCGATTCGATTATTTTATGGATAATTATAAAGTAAATCAGGAATGATTGTACTAAATATAGTATAAGAAATTATTTCTCATGGTTGTGCCGGAATTCCAACGATTGCTTATATGATATAAATTATGCAGGAACAGTGTATATTGGTTGATTAATACTTAGCCAATCAATATGTATTATTTGGGATCATCTTCTTATTGAATAAATTATCTATCAGTAGAATTGTTTTTTTCTTTGAAGAAACTTTGACAATTTCCTGCTGTTCCTTTTAAGTTTAATTTTATGAAAAAAAAGAGGAACTTCTGTGTGCTGATAGATTTAAATCGTTGTCGGCAAGTATTGTCTCAGGAATTCTTCCTCATTTTTCATAAGCAGAATGGAAAAAAAGAATGAAAACAAAACGAAATTTATAGCAGAAAAGTTCTTGACTAGATATAAATGTAGGGCTTTATGTAAGTAGGAGGTGACATCTCGCCTTAACAGCGACACCTCCCTCTCATTGCGCGTCGCGCGACCACAAGCTAGGCGCAGTAGATCGTGCTTCGGATTCGTCATTGGTTCAGATATTTTATTTTATGATTTGAAAATTAAAATAAATATCACAAAATGGTATTAGACTTTTTTGTTCCCCTTAATCTCTTCTACATCCCTAATGCGGCTCGTACCCCAACCCTGGGACACCCTGTATATATAAGTTGTATACATTCTCTAATATTTTTTTTATTTTTTAATTAATTTTTTTTATTAATTTATAGATTTATTAAATATTATTTATTATAACCAATAAAGGTTATAATGAAAATGTTTTGTAAAAATTCATCTAAAACATAATTTTAAATATATTTAAAAGAAAAAAAGATTTTTTTGCTGTAGAAGCAAATACTAAAATATCTAAATGCAATTATTATATTATTATTATATTATTATTATATTATTATACTAATAATCTTTTCGATACATAACTATTAAAATGTGTGATTTCTACGATAACAGTTGCTTTTGAAGCGCAATGAAAGAAATAATCAACATCGCGGAAAAAAAACTTTAACATTTCAATATATTTAAAATTTTGATGTTTTTTTTAAAAAAGAGTTAAACATTAAATATACTACTTATAAAATCTATAATTAATATATAATTATAGAGCTCAGCATCGCGCACGTTTGTGTTATCTAGCATTAAAAAAACAGTATAAAAAATTATTTTCTTAAGAAGTATATTTTTAAAATATATTTATAAAATTTGCAAATAATATTTGCAAATTTATTTGCAAATTTGCAAATTTGCAAATATTGTATGTTTCAGAATTGAAATATTTAAGGTTCTCTATAATTTATTTACATAATTATTTGCTACATTAATTATGTATACATAATTAAAGAACAATTATTTTTCCAAATCATCTAAAATAATAATATACATAATATTTATATCTTACACGTTTGGGTTCTGTTCATATTGGAAATTAATATTTCTAAGAATTCAATGATTTTGTTGCAACTTTAATGGTAAAAATACATATAGAGTTTTTATAAAATATCTTTATTATTAAATATATTTAAGAAATTTAAATAAGTGTTAAGAAATTAATTTTGGGAATATATTCTTGTTATTTTATTAAAAAATTTTATATTTTATTAAAAGTTTCCAAATTTTTTCTTTTTATCTCGTAAATTTTTCTCAGAATACAATTTATTGTAAAATATATGCACATAGGCTACATAATTACATTATTTAATATAAATTGCAGTCTTACCGCATTCCGATGATCACAGGAAGTGCACAAACCTTCTAGTCAACTGTGTAATATCCACGATCTACTCGTTTATGTTCTATTCATGTTTGAAATCAACAGAAGTGCACTTTTGAGAGTTTGATTATTTCGGCATTTTAACATAAGGAAGCCTTGAAACTATAACAATACATGCAGAGTTTTATAAAATAATTGTACATTAATTACATATTTAAATAATTGAAATAAGAAACTTTATTAAGAAATTAATTTTGGGAATATATTAATTCTAATTATTTTACAGGAATTTACAATTTTAAGAATATATTCTTATTATTCTTATTGAAATTTGCAAGCTTGTTCTCTTTATTTTATAAATTTTTGTTATAAATAAAATAAATAATTATTATGATTAAAAATAAAAATAAAATTTAAAAATAACATAATTTACTATAAAATATATACAGACTATATAATTACATTATTTTATATAAATTGCAGTCTTACCGTATTCCGTAATGACTACTGGGAATGCACAAATCTTTCAGGAGATCAGGAATGTGATATCTCAAAAATGTGATCTCAAAAAGTACGAAATAAAATATTTTCATACAATCTTCTTATCCATGATGATAATTATTTTATATATATATATGAAAGATATAGAAACTGTCAAAATGCACGATTTTCATATTGACAGCTACTATAGGATCAATACAAGATAAAAAAAAGTCAATTAATCACACGGGAAAACGATAATTAAATCTCTTACATAATTTTTACATGTAAAAGTGGATAAAACGCGATTAATAATAAAAAAATACTTATTTACAACTTATTAATTTTGACTAAATATCATATTTATTGATACTTACCAATACATTAGATTCAAAATGCATGCAGATAAAATTTGACAAATCTGAGTACACTTGAATAGACCTTGATACTTGTGATAGAAATAAGAAAGATTTTTTCGCCTTTTTTATATGTATGGTTCACAAAATATTTAAAAAAAGTATGAATTATGTATTTTAAAATATGTATTTTAAAATTATTAACAATATTAACAATTATTTTTTTAAAGTGTACAGTTTTAGTAATATTTTTTTGAGTGTATAATACAAAATGCCAAAAAATGTACTAAATAAAATTATACATTTACATTTTGAATGTTTTTCACTTTTTGATTAAGAATTCACAAGATGTATAACATACAAGGTTTTTTCAAAAACTGATTTGTATACTACGTAAGTTTTAGACAAACCTTTGTTCAACTGCCAAACATATGATAATTATAAGCAAATGGTTTTTGACTATGATCACTGCTCTTTTGGTCATTTCGTTGATGTGGAGAGGTAAGATAATAGATGTAATGAGAATAATATTGGGTAAGTTGAAGCAACAATTATATGAACAGTTTTGATTCAATTTATAATTGCGCTCTATAATAATTACCGAAGATCGACTATAGCTATATCATAAACAATTCCGTTGACTATCTTCAGTTGTTTCATTTTTGAATAAACATTGCAAGAAACTATAAATTTAACCGATTTTAATTTAATATGAAAGTAAGATACACGACGTATTATAATATACCCTGATTTTAAAATTAATTAAAAAAAAAAAAGAAAAAACAACAGAAAATAGTTATTTGTTTTAACTTAGTCTATTATTGTTGTTATTATTTTGGAATGTTGCATATCGAAATTTAAAGTCACATACAATATAATTTTAATATATACTCTTACATTGGGATAAATTATAAATTATAAATTAGAAATCCTAAACTACAAGGCACAGATTAAGAATACTTTTACATTTACTTTTACATTATTTTGCATATAAGATAATCGATATTGATTATTATATCGTTATGGAATTTTATTAATATTTCGAAAGAGAGAGAGAGAGAGAGAGAGAGAGAGAGAGAGAGAGAGAAGAAGAAGAAA